GCGCCGAACAGCAGGAAGTCCAACATTTCGGCCTGCACGTGCTCATCTGCAGGGACACGCGGGAAATATGAAGAGACAGGACAACACAACAATAACAGGAAGTTTCCAGTTTTAAATTAAGCAACTTTAACATTTTAAAGGAAATTATTCTGCACCACTGGTTCTCAGGTGGTCGGGGAACTCTGTCAGTACTGTGTTTGCAATGATTACTAAATCTATCACAAACCAGTGAAGACAACAGAGTTCAGAGGAGAGTGCAGGCAGGGTGGAGTGGGTGGAGATGAGTGTCAGGGGTGATTTGTGACAAAAGGATAGCAGCAAGAGTGAAAGAGGAGGACCTCAGAGAGAACATGCAGGGGGTTGGTGTGACAGAGGAGGAGACGGAGGCAGATGATCTTCTGTGGTGAGGTGATATGTGTTTGTTTATTCGCTGACATATAGAAATCGTGCTCAAGAGTAAGAAGCATGACCACGACCACGACCAAAGTAAGTAAGTAATGAGGTCAGCACACGTCTAAAAACCCTGTGAGAAACGAAGAGCTAAAGGAAGAGGAGGTACAGCAGCTCGTTTCAGACAGAGGATGGAGCGGAGGGACACCAAAGCCCAACATGACAACATAAATAAGGACTATGTTGAAATTTGAAAGCTGCTCTCACTGAGTCCAGAAAATAACATTAAAGGTGGAAATGAGCACCACGAATCTCCTTTAGAGGCACTTAATGTACTATAAATTTACTGCTGTGTGTTTGTCCTGAACAAATGCTGTTCGCTGGCACATTTAACTCAAATTTATTCACAAGTTATTTCTGTTTCCTGGAAAGAGGCGCTGCCTTAACGGCTGAACTCAGAGAACAACAATCTGATTGCTGTAAAGAGCTCGGATTGAGGGCAGACTATAAATCCTCCACACAGAGGTGGGGCTATGCAGGACTGCAGATGCACACCTGTGACCTATGACCCCTGCACCCACAGCACTGACCTATGAACCCCAGCAGTTTGGCAGCGTACAGGGAGAACCCGGTGCAGAAGGCGTTCCACAGCGTTCCCACCACGGCGTATGTCAGGATGGCTCCCAGGTTGTCGAAGAAGAGCCTGGCCGGCATGAAGTATCCGGCATCCCCCACGATGGTCGGCAGCAGGAAGAGGAAGAAGAGGCTGGGCTCCAGCTGGTATAGCTGCTTCTTATTGGCTATGAGGACGACCCCGCCCAGGACCAGACCCAGCAGGATCAGCATGCAGCTCTCTGGGACCACGGTGGTGAAGCGCTGGGAGAAGTGGAACACTGCAGGACAACATGCACCGATTACAAAACAAGGCATGAAAAAGTTTGCATGACTTTGTTAAGTTTAATTATTTATCTGCTTTTCTTAATTTACCTTCTCTACCTTCTATTTCCTGCAACAGCTCCTCTTTGTTCCTTCTGCTAAATCCTACGTCAGCTTTATTTTTCTCCACCTGCTCGGCTCCGCAAACATCTGACTCTGCAGCTCCTGACTCATGCTTCATTTTAGACAGGTCTGCAGGTGTGAGCACGGACATGTGTCGCACGTGTGCAGAGATGCAATTATTTGCTCTCTGAATTGTTGATATTTTTGCATTTGATGAAACACATAAACAAAAGTCAGCGCTGCCATTGTGGCCTTGGACATGCAGTTAGGAATCCATCAAGGCCTGCGGTGAGTCACAACAAGACACACACACACACGCTGGTGATGCTCCTCATAAATCAGGACACAGGGAAAAAACATCAAAGCCTGAACAAACATAGTGTGTGCGTCTGTTTCCATGATGATTCATTTACACCAATCAGAAGGCTCTGCTCTATCAGCCAGGGCTCGATCACCGTCCAGACAAACTGGGAGTCAGAGGAGCCTCTGACTTCCTCGTTATCATAATTTGATCAGCTGAAGCAGAATGAAGCAGAACTACAACTGATCCTACAAGTCAGACGAACCCAGAACCTTCAGCTGCATCATCATCATCATCATCATCGTGCTTCCTGAATATTCTACAGACTTTGATACTGAACTTTTCCAACTAAACCCACTGAAATAAGTCTTTTCAAACAGGGTAACTCTGCATTTTACTTAAGCTGGTCATTGGGATCAATGCACCGTGTTAACAGCGCTGGGTCATCCTCACACTGAATTCTCCACACACACACATGGAGCATCAGCTGTTTGCAGCTTTTAACTAGAATAAAATAACAAAACTTCACGTGTGAATGAGCTTTCTGCCTGACTCACATATATGAACGGATATGTGTGTGACGCTCTTACAGAAAGCAGTCCAGTTACACGGTGTACTCGCACACGACTCTAACTGTGCTCTGGATAACAGATAGCAGAGGAGGCACAACAAGAGGAGCGACAGAGACGGCGATACAGTCCTTCAGCTCACCGTAAAAAGCGTCGCAGAACTTTTCTACCAACATCATAAGATAACGTCTATCGATCTTTGAGCTTCTGGGTTTGTGTCTTAACGCTTTAAAACCTGAACCATGAAATAATTACTTAGTTTGACAAACAGAGTGTTAATCAAACTTTAATTAACTATTCGTTTGCGTTTACTGTACGAGTTTTCATTTGTACCGTTTTTATTGCAATTTATTTTGTTTTTTGGGGGGAAAGACACACAAATGATGTAAAAGTATCAAAAACTCAAATTCTCATGATACACTTTACATTAAAGGCTTAAACTTGCATTGTTTTTAATAGCCAACAGCAGACGACTTCTCTGATTGCAAAGAAAGACGTGTGAGTGTGGAGAAGTTTAAGGGAAACGTTATTCTACTGCCTCTGTGAGCTCTGACTCCAGTGAGCGCTTTTCTGATTATTACTAGTTAGAAGTATGATTGGATACGAGTGAAGTTACTCTCGATTTCTCAGTCGGGTTTCAAACTCCAACACACCAACTGGGAAAACGCTCATTTTGAAGCTTTACATCAGGACTTAACAAACGATGACCGTGGTCATATTTGTTATATGCTATGCTCAATAAACTAACTGCTGTGCATTCAATGAACACATTTAATAAACTATATTTAACAAATAAAATGTAATAAAATAACAATGCAGCCCATAAATGTTGAGTTAAGACAGAGCTCGTTGTCTGAACATCAGTCTGAAATAAAATCCTAGATTTTGGTGCTTGACGCTTCATTGCTTGTTTCAAGAGAAGCATGTTTAATACTTGCTTTGTACAGTAGTACACACACACACACACACACACACAGCTGAACCACCTACACACCAGACGCACAGCGAGGACAGAAAACACTGAGAACATTCAGCTGCTCAACATGACGTCCAGACATGGCCATTTATACACCACACATCCAAAGCAGACTGACAGCGTCTGAGTCTGATTCTCAGAGCTGCAGAGCTCCACCGTTTAAACTCATCCCTGAGGTTTGTCTAAGGAGCTTGGAAAGAAAAGCGTCTGGACTTCTTTAGGTTAGGTCCAGCTTTTCTTTCCAAGCTCCTTAGACTACGATGACCTGACTGAGAACCTTCACAGACATCGCTGAGGCTTCATCACCATCAATCTGCACACATACGATGGTTTATTCTGACTCACTGCAACATGAATCGCCTCTCTGCCAAATAAAATCTAGAGCAACAAACGCTGATTCATCCACTACAGAAAATAGTCCCCAAAATGGTCTATTAACTCCTAAATGATAGTGAACAGTCTCTTAAAGAAACGACTGAGCCTAAAGTTTATATATCTGTTGTGGAGGTTTGACTTTTGCAGATCAAAAGCTTAAAAGTTTTAGCTTTAAGAATGTTAAAAGACACCAGGAAAGAGCACATTTGTCTGAGACCATCTTCAGTGTCGGATTAACCCACCCGTGGCGCTCTGGAAGAATCTCACAGTGACAGGAAACGGGGAATTTAACAGTAGATGCTTGTGTTCGGCTTTAGTGACAGGAAGAACACGCAAGAGATCACCAGACCTGCTGATTTATGTCTAAATGATCTGAATGTGTGCAGCCAGCTAGAACAGAGCCACAGTGTGTGTCTGTGTGCACGCATGTGTGTGTCACTAGCATTACCACATTAGTAAGCAGTATGTATAGCATGTGCGTATTATTGTCTTGCAGTGCAGTGACTCACCAGCAGCTTGGGAAGTGTTTATGTCAACAGGTATTCCTCATGTTGTGGGGACGAGTCTTTTTAACAGGGACGAAAGCGTCAAATTATTAAGGTGAATGCAGCATTTAATGTTCGAGTTTGTCTCCAGGAAGTGAATGAGAGTCATGGGAACATGGCTGTGTGTGTGTGTACCTGTTTAGACGTCCTTGTGAGGACCAAAAATTGGAACCTTACTATACTTATGGGGACCAACAAAACGTGGTTTTAGTGTCAGGGTTACAATTAGGTTATGCTTAGGTTTAGGCATTCATTTTGAAGGTTAAGGTTAGAGTTATTGTAAGCGGTTAGGGAAAGTGTTGTCAATTAGATGTCCTCACTAAGATATCAAAACGAGAATGTGTGTGTGTGTCAGTTAAAGTCTTTCAAGGGCCGAGGTTCAAAGGTTTCTTTGTTCTTTTCACATATTAATACTACATAAAGTTTATTGTTCATTACTATTAATGTTTAACTTATTTTAGTGCTGTTTCTTTCTTGCTTTATTTTTTTATTTTGTGTAAATGTCAAAGCAACAAATACTGCTGCTGATTACACAAAATGGGTGATAAACATAAAAGTTGATTTTTTCACGTCCAAGGTGAGATGACAGAAATAATGATGTCATCATTCAAAAACATGTCCGACCAAGAAAAGAAGCTATAGAAAAGTGGCAGCAGCTGAATTTTAACCTACACCACGTACTTTTTATGAGGCCAACTGAATCGTTTCTAATGATAATTAATAAATATGAATAAATATTTATATAAATATAACAGCCAATCCCTCCAGCCTCCAAATATCATTTTTTTCTCTCCGTTTAAAAGTGAAAAATATGAATTTATGTACATGGTGTGCTGACCCTGCCATCAGTTCTTCCTCAGAGGTCGGGTAATCCTGGGGTGGAGCTGAGGAGACCGGGACACCTGGTGGTCATCGAGAGCAAGCACACACGCCACATAAGCGACCTTAATCTACCTACAGGGACTCCTTCAGTTGAGTCAAGATGGAGACATCTTGAGGAAACTGGGGTCTCGTCCGGGATATGGACCCGAGACCTCAAGAAACCCAAAGATTAAGGATCATTCCTCTACGCTCTTCTTTCATCTACTCCTGTGCTTGCTGCTCCCTGTCAGTGGGACCCTTTCCAGCTGAAAGTGGGCTCTAACGAGATGCTGAGGTGCTGGGGTAGCACCGGTTCAACAGGATGCAGCTGATATTGAGCGGTTAGTAAGCTACTTGCCCCACAGGTTCAGCTTTTGCCAACTAAACTACTCTGTTGTGGAGAAAAGAAGCACTCACTTTAATATTGGGCTTTGAAACTCTTTGAAGTGTATTTAGGCAGCAGTGGGAGTCCTCTTGTGGTATATGCCAACCTCTTATTTTTGCACACTGTAGAGAACACAGAGCAGCACATGATGAGAAGGTGCTCATTTTAACAGCTCTGCCAGCTGGATGTCCAACATTATGTCTTTATTTTGGGAGTTTTCTTCTTCAGTTCTCTTAAAAGTGCTTTCTAGGTACCAAGCTGCTGAGAACAGAATTGGTGAAGGTAATCTTAGTCTCTTCATAAATACATTTGTTAGTCTTAATGACTGACGTATGTAACAGCTGGAGTCACTTTTGCTATCTAATCATAACAAAACAAAACCAGCCATATTTCAGACAGAAAGCGTGTAGGTCGAAGCAACAGCTTCTGTACACCTACCCCTCATATTACACAGTTTAACCAACCATGAAGTGAATGCTACGAGTCAGTACGTAGAAGAGTCAGATAAAAATTTATGTCCAGAAACAGACATCAACAGCTGAAACGTCCTGTTGATGTTAAAAACTTAAATTTGAACATTTACAGTGATGCAAAACCAACAAATACCACCAATACTACTACTGATAATAATAAATGTCATACTTATTATTATGTTGTACAGCACTGATTTATTGTTGTGGCCTCATTTATCTGGAGTCTTTATTTCTTTTTATGAAAACAATATAACGACTGATTCTGTTTTATTCACTAAATATGATTTTCCCATTTTGAACTCGGTGATATCTCAGTTTTCTGATCTCGCTTCTTTTTATGACCTCCATTTATCGTCTAATCTAATCCCCAAGAGACTAAATGTGTTTTTATTACTTCGACAACTTGTTTATCATCTGAAGATTCGTTTTATTTCTGTCTTCTGTCTGGTTGGCTCATTTTTAAACTAAGCGAATAATCAGAAACAATCAGATAGATATAAATAAAAGTTGTTCAACACTGGATTCATTAACATGAAAAGAAGGCGATGTATGGAAGGCCTCAGGTTTGAGGATTTCCTTTGGGTTTCTGTAATATTACTTAGAAATCCAACCTTTATTAAAAATGTACATCGACGAAGAACATTTCATATGCAATCTAAATCTTAAAAAGCTCAGTTATTTTAGTTTGTGCAGATTAAACTTGGTCTTTTATCGAGTTGTTCAGCATGTACAGTGACTGATAAAGATTTCATAGGAGAACTGTGAGGCTAAAACCAGCAGTTAGTTCTTCCTCCTTATCTAAAACTCCAATCATTACTTTCAAACCCAGAAAATATTTTAAACTCTTGTTTCGTCGATTACAAAAGTGTTCATTATCAGAGAAAACTATAAAAGAAGGAAATTATCCCAAGCTGAGTAGGAGACCCCACTGGGGCATACTGCTAAAATAGCGTGGTCACTTGTTGGTTAATATTATTAGTAAAAAATTAAAAGTATTGGCAGTTATGAGTGTCTTTGTTTTAAAAAGGAAAATATTTGTTACTTATTTTTTCAACCATTTAATGAATTAAGCCGTCAGCTCAAAGTCACCGTCAGTAATGAGCCTAATTCTTCTTTTAAAGTTGTTCTAAAAACCCTCACACAAAAAAAAATCATCTACTTTTGCTTTTCTCTACCATTTTTTAAAATTATTATTATTATTATTTTGGTAGTTGACAGTAATCAGGGTTAGAAATATCACCAATGATTTAGACATCAGTGTTTACTATATTAAAAATGGGGTGGGTTCGAGGGGCCCAGCAGGAACTTTCTGGCCCGTGGCTCCGCAGCAGGTGAGTCCGGCAGTGGCTGCAGCCATTCCCTGACTCTCATTAAACTTCCAGTCTGGTTCCAGCTGCAGTAAGGAGACCAGTGAAGTTCCAGTCTGTGTACTGGTGCTGGGAAACACACACAAACACACACACTTACAGATCTTGGCCACGCTGGCCACCAGTAGCCAGATGGCGATGATGTACGGGGTCTGGACGTAGCTCCACTCCCACTGGACCACCCGGTACCCGCCGCCGTGATGATCATGCTCCCTTGCGTCTTCCTCCTCTCCGGTGCCGGTCGGCTCCTCTGCAGCGGACCGGGCCAAGGCGACGCCGGGCGCCCCGTATTCCGCCCCGGGCTGCGGGAGGAGGAGCGGCGGGGCGGAGGGAGAGGCGGGGACCGGCGGAGAGAAGCCGAGCCCCGGCCCCCGGAGCGGCGGAGCGCCCGTCCCGGGCAGGTCGGCGGCGGCGGCCGGCAGCAGGAGCAGCATCAGTCCGAGCGGCAGCATCTCGTCCCTGGAGCTCAGCGGGCGGACATCCTCCAAGTCTTTATATACACACCGGGACACGGAGAGGACGCGGAGCGAGGCCGGGAGCCGGTTTACAACATCAACAACACACACGCGCGCATGGACCCACGCTCACACACACTCAGACTCCGGTAAGACACGGAGGAGGGGACACCGGAGCCGGCATGTGACCCGCCCAGTCCCCCTTTAAAGAGACGGAGACACTGCAGGTGAAGCTGTCCTCCTGACTGACTCACAGCTGACCTGATGCTCGGTACCGATCGGCTCTGACGTCACACATCAATACTGCTCGGCGTGACGTCAGAATTTCAGTTCATTGATATGTTTGAACTTTGCAAACATCTGGTGATTGTAACTGAGTTTGTTTAAATAAAGCTAGATTTCACCCCTTTTTTTCTTTCTGTGTTGTTCAAGTGCTCTGCTCCTTCTTTGGGAGGATTACTGAGGAGGAGCACCAGGAGGTGATCTGGAGAAACATGGTGAAGGGGCAGAGCCAGCTTGGGGGGGAAAAACACTGAATGAGAAGACATGAGGTCACATCTGGGTCATTCTCCAGCAGAAGGAAAAACTATGTAAAATTTAATAAATGTATGAACAGATGTGATCATCTTGTAAAACCAGAACATGAACAAGTTAAACTACAGTCCTCACCCAAAACAGCACAGTGCAAAACAGGCTCCTGAAACAGACTGTATATAGAAGATGGGAGTGATAATCGTGTCCAAGGAGCAGATGTGACTCGGGCACACTGCTATGGAGGACCACAAGAGCCGCACACATCGAAAGAAAGAATTCTGTGCTTAAATAAATTGCACAATAAATTATGCATTTGTAAATTCATTATTTACAGAA